TATTGAGAAAAGAATCTGCCCTGAAGCTGAAAGGCAGCTCCTTAAATTGACTAAATTACATTTGTATTTCAGAAAAGAAAAAGAAACTGTAAATCGCGTATTTACACGGCGGAGCACGCGAGTGCTCATACGAGACCCAGATGTTCATTAGAAACATGGATTTTTCTTCCTTGCTGCTACCCTGAAAACTGGGAGAGAAGTCAGCTATGTTGAAGGGTTACAAAAGAGCGAGTTAAGTCTACAAAATCCAGGAAATTTCCCGTTAAGATGAAAAATCTGGGGTACTGTTGTAGTCCTTTAATTCGGCCCCAAGACGTAAATTAAATCCAGAGGATCGGGTCAGGTGCTCAAGTTCTCAGACCATAGCTGTGGAATTTCCAGGTTAAGTTACTTAAATTTTCCTGTTGCTGAATAAAGCTAAAATCCTGTGTGCCATATATTTGCTCATCATAAAATGTTCTCTCCTAGCCAGTAACAGCTTCTTTGTTGGCGAAGCCTGTCTGGTTCAGGAGGCTCCCAGCCTTTGTGCAGGGTTTGGGAGTTAAGAACTTCCACATGGCCCCTGCTCTGAGGCTTTTGTGAATAAGCAAGAAAAAACACTTGCTCCATGGCCAACAAATGCATGGGATATGGTTTGAATTCTCTGGGTTTAAGTGCAAAGGATAATATTGATTTTGTTAAGGTAAATGTCTTTAATTGAACTGTATAAACTCGGCTCTCACTGGGCCATAATGGGCTCTGGGCATCCCTCCAGCACAGCAGTATGAAAATGTCTCTTTTAGTGTCTCCAGCAGAGAAATGCAGAATATGAAGATTTAGATGAAAAAAAGTGAAATGGAGTCCATCCCCAGTCCCTAAAACAGCATCTACTGATGCAGAAGGACATTTACATAGCTGGAAATGACTGCTTTGTTAAGGTCAAGGCTCTGCAGTACCTGCTGGTGTGGGCTGTCCAGGGCTCTTTACTGGGGAGCTGGGAATAGAAAATGAAAAGAGGGAAAACAGCAAGAGGAAATGGAGAAGTCTCAGTGTGACTCAGTCTCATCCACAGGGCCTGGGTGGGATCCTGACCCAAAGGGGAGCTGGGCAGCTCTTTAATGATGAACATTTAATGATGAACACGCTCTGCAGTCCTTTCACACAACCCATTCCTGAGCATCTGACTGTCATCCTGAGGGTGACAAGGACAACAAGGGTGACTCAGCCCCCTGATATTCATTTATCAAAGGCACTAAAGGTATTTAAAGGTATTTTAAATATTAAAATTTAATTTTAATATTTAAATTACTGAATTTAAATAATTCAGTAATTATTTATATATTTATATATATATATTTATATATTTAGTATTTATTTTAAAAGTATTTACCTAAAGGTATTTAAGAACAGACCAAACACTCTTGCAGCAGATGATGCCCTTTCATTTATTGCTAATCTACCATAGTACAGGCAATATATAAAAATACTTTACAGATAGCAAAAAATCATTACATTGGAGGTTAACAACGTTGTTGTAGGAATGTGAATGATATAAAAACCCCTTTTCAATGATGAGAAGTTTGGTTTTTGAACAAACAATTTGATTCAAAAGACATCTGTTAGGATGATGTGAGTGATAAGGGCTCACTCGTGTGTCTGTTAAAATATGGCTTGACTGGAACATCCAGGGCAGGGAGGGCTGGACTTTGGGGGGAATCATTTCACAATTACACACTCAGACAAAAATGTGAGTGCCAGGCAGGCCAGCACTGGTGAGATTCTCTGTGCCCAGGTGGCACCAGCACGCCAGGACAGTCCCTGCTCAGAGCAGGGCCCATCCTGCAGTAACTGCTGGATCCAACAGCACATCTGCGAGTCCTGGCTTTTACAGACTTCATTCATTTCTGAGACTCAGTCCTTCTGGAGCTTTCTACCCAATGTTGCTATTTTAGGAGTTACAGAAGGAAACTCAACCCCCCCCCAGGTAACTCTGCATTCGAGATCATCTTTTACAGCATCAGCACCTTTAGGCAAAGTTTACTACTGCAATGTGCAGGTTCTAATTTATATTTTTGTACCCCTGAAAGAATGAGAATGGCTAAACAAACCTGAAACAGAGCAGAGTGGGTTGGACACTGGCTGGAAGTTGGGTTGGTATCAGCTGTGAGCCCTGCATTGCAACACAGCAGGTATTAAAGATACAGGTGCCAACCTGGTGCCAAACGTTGTAAAAGGTGGATTATTTATATGAATAAAGAATTACAACCTTCCAAGTGTGATGGCAGAGTTAGGAAACCACTGCAATGTAAATGATGAGGACAAGAGTTGATTTCTGGAGAATTTTACAATTCACCCCACTGAGACCCAGCAGTGGCATCTCTTCCTATTTCACAGGAATATGGAACATAAATAACAAACACTCAGAATTGCAGCTAAACTGGAATGTCAGATGATTTTAAGTGGTGCAAAAATTATGAGGATCTGAATCAGTTTAAGATTTGAAATGAAGACAGTCGTTTTCTTGAGTCCCATCTGGCAGATCATTGTTCCCTATTAAGTAGCAATTTGGAAAGAAATGCAGGGGGAAAAGTCAGATTGAAATATTTAGAAACATATTCCTTAAGCGTTTAAAGCTGTCTTTGAAGTCTTTGGGAAATTTATCAAATACATCTTTTTTTAGGACAACAACAATTCAACAACAATTGCATAGAAAAGTAAGGCATTCAGAAAATGAAAACTGACCCTTTATAAATACAAACCTTAATCCAAAAGTTGTTGCATATTTGGTCAGACCAAAAGCACAGTCACTTTTGGTGTAAGGATATGGACTAGGAAATACACTTTAAAAACATGCTAGCTACTTTGAGAACTGGTTTAGATATGTTATGAAGCAGCAGCTTTTTATACAATAGAGAATAACATAGTGCTGGTTTTGGGACTCCTCTACATTCAGGAAACGCTGTATTCCTACAGGGGAATGGGAATACATATTTACATGGATACAAATAAAGCAAGTGCAAAACCCATGACTCTTCTACATTCTTTCTCCCAATAAAAACAACATACACGAGACACTTTCACTCCACTGCTGTTGCTCAGATCTTACATTTTGCTCATTCTCATGGAGAAAAACCAATCCAGGACTTTGTATTTCATTGTATCTTCGCAAGCAACTCCTCTCCTGGCAAACTCGCCTTCCAACACTCGTAACTGACGAAAAAAAAAATCTTCCTGATATCTGCCCACTCCCATTCCACTCTCAGACTGTTTACATATCATGAATGATGATTTTTATTCTACGTATATTTGATGCAGAAGTTTATAGAAGCTCATCCTGTATTCGCAGCCAAAGCTCGGATGGAAAAATGGAAGTTGAAAAAAAATTCTCACACACACACACACACACACACACACAAGACAAATAAAAAGAGATGAACTTTTGAGTTCCAAGGTGCCCCATGAACTTCACATGGTGCAGCTTTGATGGAAAATGCACTGGAGTCGTTCACCCTGCAGACAAGATATTTGTAGGCCTTTGGTACAATGGCAGGAAGGCACTGTGGTGAAACATTCAGATAACTGAGGAAAGACAGAATTTCCTCATGTGCAAATATGGCTATCTTCCAGATAAAGTGAGAACAAATTGCTCACAAAATGCTATTAACTCTTCCAAGGTTAAGCTCGTGCTTCTACGGAGAGAAAGTTGTATTAAGTAACAGAAATACTAATACTGGAAAAACACTGCTCAGCAAGAACAGGAAATAATTTAGTACTGTATATATTGAAATCCTTCAGCCTAGCTATATAATTTTAACATACCAGTTTCCTTTTTAGAGACAACAATGCACAGCGCTATGTCTGAGGATGCTCCTTTTCTCCGGAAATAAATACAAAGTTGGCTGAAGCTGAATTATTTAATTGCTGTTGCATGGAAAAGCAGATGGGGCAGCACAGCCTGAGCTCGGGCAGCTGTGGCTGAACCCCTAAAATACAGAATACACGGGGTGAAGCCTCCACACGGAGCTGCTCAAGCGCTGGGAGCCGGCACAGGAGGGACCCAGCTCTGTAATTGTTCATTTCATTTTTATGCAGATAAAATCACACACCCACAGAGAGCAGGGCATGGCTGGGCTGGCAGGGACCTCACCCAGTGCCACCCCAGCCCTGGCAGGGACAGCTCCCACTGCCCCAGGGGCTCCCAGCCCTGGCCAGCCTGGCCTTGGGCACTGCCAGGGGTCTGGGAATTCCAGCCCAGCGCCTCCCCACCCTCCCAGGGAGGATCTTTATCCTAATTTCTGATTGAAAACTACTCTCTGTCAGTTTGAAGCCATTCCCAACTTGTCCTGTCACTACCAGCCCTTGGAAACAGTCGCTTTCTGTGTGGGTGTATTTATAAATTACGTTGTACACTGTATTTGTACACAGATTAATACCTATGCATGAGAGGTGAGGGAGGAATACAGTCAATGCAAGCATGGCTGGAGCACCTGTAGCACATAAAAAACCCCTTCCTCCCAAAAAGAACCCCGAATAAATCCAACCTCTTCTATAGCAAAGTGCCTGAAGAACACATAAGCACAGTGGAAATCTCGTGTATTTTGGTTGCAGAGCTCTCCTGGGTGCAGCACTGCAGGGCTTTGCCTGCCTGGCTCCCTCCTGTGCAGCCTTTGCTCCAAAGCCAAGGTTTTATTTTTCCTTCCTTCTGGGGGTTAATTTATTAAAAGGACATTTCAGAATCTAGAAGGCAGAACTTAAACATTGACCTTTTTCTTAGCTCAGATCCAGCACTAGATTTTACTTCCCCCCTCTTTTCTAAACTGATATTATCTATAAATAAATATTCAGACAATAATTCTCCTAAATGGATGAGCAGTTGCTGCAGTCACCAGAGCAGCAGCAGCAGCACATCACAGATCTGAAAAGCCCTTCCTGGGGCTTCTCTGAGCTTCTATTTAAAATCCAGCAAGAGAGAAGGTTCTGCCAGTAATCTGAGGAATTTTTTTTTTCCTCTGTGGATGGGGTTTTGGGTTGTTTTTTTAAATTTCTCCTATACTTTACAGGTTGGATCATGGAAAACATTGGAAACATCCAAGTGTGAAACTCGGAGATGCATTTGGTCTGTTCTTTTACTCAGCTATAGCAGAGAACTTCTGACAGGCAACTTTTGGCCTTTAGAATATGTCAGAATTGTCCAATTCATCAGACTGCACTAAAAAACCCTTAATATGTGTCAGATTCTGGCTCCCTGACAGCTTCTAACAATCCCAAATAGCTTTCTGAGGCGTGTGAGCCAGTCTGAGCCCTACTGAGTGCTGCCTCACAGCAATTCCCCTCTTCTGCAAGGCTGGGCCTCCGTTTGGTTTCTGTGAAAGTCAGCAATTAAAAAAAGCCATTTTCACCTCTGCAGGTCGGGGCTGAGGCTTGGACTCTGCAGGGCACTGGGGAGGGCACCGGGGCACCCCGGGAGTTCTGGGGGTTGGGGTACAGGGAACTCCTTTTGGGGTGGAAGATTGGAAGCTCACAAAGCAGAAGTAGAAGCCAGGGTGTGCCATTAATGCCAGGCTGGGACCTGCAGGGCTCTGCTCTGCTTCTGAATCTGAGCTGGGCTGAATCTGGAGTTCAGAGCTGCTCTTGTGGAATTCAGATTTCTGTTCAAGAGACAAATTTGAGCTGAGCCCAAGGTCAGGCGTTCTGAAGAACCTAATGCTTCTGTCTCCCACTCTAAAACCCCAAGACCTTGCAGAGTTTAAGCACCAGTTTTTAGTGGCAGAGAAGACATTCTTCCTGATAGTCCTGAAGAGATTTTTGTTGGACCAAGCACGTGCTCTGCAGGGACTGTGCAAAATCTTGAGACATCGGGGAACCAATTTTGCTCTGCTGTGTTCCCATCCTCTGATTCCTGCTGTGAGCAGTGGACATGCTGGTATTCTACAAAATTTACTGTGACACAACTGAAAACTGGATTAGTTTCACTGTGCTTTCTACAGCAGAGCTCAGGCTCTGCATTCCTGAAAATATCAGCATTCCTTATTTATAGAACCAGGAAAGACTACTATGTAATTCCTAAAACATTATGGTTATCTTGTTCTGTACACTGATTACCCACTCAGGAAGCCTTTTTATCCCACTGAGGAGGCCCTGACTCCCCTAAATATTCTAACTTGTAGCTGCAGGTGGCAGTGGTTACCTGGAATGTGCTAAGCAGGAGTCAGGACAGGATATTCGAACACACGAAGCAAAACCTAACAAAATATAACCTCCCATGGAAATTTAACCTTTCCAGGAATTGCTGGTAGCTTTGCAAAGCTAAAGAGGCCAGGTGAATATGAATAAGTGTATATTTTCTCTGGAATGTATGGCTTCTGTAAGATGCACTTATTTTCCCCTGCAGCTTGGGTGAGTAAATGTTCCAGCTGCTAAATGAGACAAGTTATGAGGCAAGAGCAGGTTCTACATGAAAAGAAACAGCAACAATTTGTTAGAAAATATCGAAGATGTGTTCATACACTGCCTAAATACTAATAAGGATCAATCATAAAATCTTTGGATTTACTGTGACTCCTATATATTAATCTCTGTTTTACCTGGGTTTATTTTACTTTGGGACAGGCATTGCAGCTGCTGATTTGCTCTTTTCACTGGTTGGATATGAGAATCCCTCTCCTTCAAATTCCTATCCAGTCTGATGGGAAAAGCGAAGAAAACTCTTGGATTCAGCTGACATCTCCTGTTTGAAATACCAATCACAGTGCTCAGAGCAAACTGGCTTTTGATCCCAGACTGGATGCAGGCTGAGCTTGGGCTGCCTCAGCTCCCTACAACAATGACATTTCTCAGGAGGGTTTGGATACCTGGAGGGCCAGTCACTGCTGGTGACCTGCAGGGTGCTGGCAGTCCTCCATGGAATATATCACTCTGTGTTCCCCTTTTCCCACCCCCGTGTCCACCCCGGGCTCTGAGCCCTGCGCGGGGCACGGGTGATGGTCCCGATGGATGGACGCACAGACAGAGGGTTTGCAGCAGGCTGGAGTGTTTCCTCAGACAGATGCTCTGTTCCAGGAGAACAATGTGATCTCTGGATGAAAGGAAGGGTGTCCTTCGTGGTGTTTACAGACAGAGGTGGCGAGTTGCTCAGCCAAGGCTGTCACTTGGTGCCAATTCATTGTTCCTTGCGCTGAGTCTCTGCCTGGAGATGAACTGCAAAGGAAGCCAGAGGTTGCAGGGGCACTGGAAGGATCTAAGAGGTCACTTATGGAAGGATTCGGTAAAAGTTGTCTCACAAATCTCTTCTTCTATGTCTGACTTCTGGCAGGGAGTCCAGAAAATTCCTTCCTGATAATTTCGTTAACTGGGAAATAAAAGAAAGAGGAGGAAACATTAAAGCACTTCCAACATCACGACAAGTAAAAAGTAAAAGCAATTCTTGGGCAGTCGAGCTGAAAACATCCCCTCTGCATTCATAGTTTAATTTTATTAAAATCTAAATGGTCCTGTCTGCCCAGGTCCCACATTTTTGGAAGGCCAGGGGGAAGGAGAGGGTGTGTTTCATTGTATTTTTGTTTCACTGCATTCAGTGTGCTTCAGGTGCCATAAAACAGAGAGGCTGCAGCACGTACCCAGGACCTGCCACATCCCTCACACACACTCCCTCTGCCACAGACACTGCCCTTTCCCCAGGCAGAAACAGAAAGAAACATCTCTAGCTATCTAAGCATCTGAACATTGCACTAGGCTGAAAGAAAAACATTTGAAAAAGGCCAGGTTTGGAGGAAATATAGTGATGAAAACACAGAGACTGCAAGTCAGGTGAAAAAGCTTGCATTTGGGTGGTTTATGTTTGGTATTTTTTAATCCCACTCTAGACTCTACCTGCTTTACATCTTTATTATCATTTATTTGCAGACTGTAGCACAAACAAGTTGCATGCAGCACCAGGGTACCGGGAGAGGCTGGGACAGGCTTGTTAATAAAGCTCAAGAGAAGACACTGAAAAACTTTGCTGTCTGTTTAAAAATCAGAACAATATCACTTCACTTACAACAGCCAATCTCTCCTGGCAACTTTTCACACTCACCTGCCTAAAGCACCCTTTGGCATCTCCTGGAACAGCAACTCTCTCTCTAGAATTTAGGTGCTCCCTAGAATTTAATGCAGAAATCTCTGCACTTTCATTAGAGGAGACCTAAACCATGAACATTTTGATGCAGAACTCCAGAACTGCCTTTTCTGGGGCTCCATGTCACCTGCAGCTCCTTGATGCTGTATTCATCATTGTCAGTTACTCTGACAAATTTACCTTAAAACCAGAAAACTAAATTTTCCAGGTTTCAGACCCAGATCTAAATGACTTCTCCCTGTTGACATTTAAGGGCTGAAATAGGGACTAACTCAAAGCAAAGCTAGACCTCACCCAAGACTGATTAATCCTCAGGTTTGCAGCTCTCAGACTCTTCTATATTCTATCCCATTTCTAATAAATGCTTATTACAAACATTAATTAACATAGTATTAATTAACACAGTATTTCACTACTTCCCCCTATCTAAAAAACCTGGCAAGTCTCTGGGAAGGGGAACACATGAATTAGTTTTTAATAGTTACAATTCATGGTTTGAAACCTCCTTCCTCTCAGCACGCTGGGATTTGTCTCTGAGAAAGTAAAATCTGTATTTTTTCAGAGCTCCATGTTGCTCCTGGATGTGGGGGTACTCCAGGAACTCCATCAAAAATCCCACCAGTAACAGCTCTCTCTAATTCCAGCTGGGAAATGCCTGGTTTGAAGCAGAACTGGTGTTTTCTGGGGATGATTTGGGCAAGACAAGCAGAACTTCTGCCCTCTCCTGCTGCCCAGCATCCTACCTGGCACGGCTTTGGGGAGAGCTGTGGCAAAGGAAGAACATCTGGGTGTTGGGTGAGGGCTGCTCTGCAGTGAGAGGCAGCAGCCAGAGGGAGGGGAGGTTGGTCCACTCTAAGCAGAACCTCCTGTGCTCACTCACAGCTTCCTGCCTGCTCTGCCCAGGAAATGACAGGAGCAGGTCTCAATGGAAAGTTTTCACAGCCCCGGCTAAAAATAGCAGTGAGGTAAAAGAAGTGGGCACCCACTCTCAGAGAGGGTCATTTCCTCTCCAGAAACAAGTGGGCTGAGGCTGCAGGACATTTATTTATCAACAGGTTTGTTTGGGCTACCAAAAGTACCACGAGTTTTATCTATTCCTTTTATCTAATACAACCATGGACATCTCAGAGCCAACAGTCATCTGCATCTGGGAAGGGTTAACTATTAATGTGAGCAGATAATTAAATGGAGCTCAGTGCAGAGGCTCTGAGGGGTCTGGGTTTGGTTGTTGGGGCAGGTTGGATGCTGTGGTGAAGAGCTGACTCAGCCTGCACACTTCACTTTCCCTCCCCTGAGGTCAGCACTGGCTCCTGTGGGCTGAGGTTACGGGGGCTGCAGCCTGAACAGGGCTCAAAAGCTGCAGGGGAACAGTCTGAAGCATGAACCCCCCGGACAGGCACAGCCAGCACTGCTCCCTGCCAGCTCTGCCACCTGCAAAATCGGGTGTTTTCTAAGAACCTGAATGACAACAGCTCCCTGCCATCAGCTGGCCTGAATGTCCCACAGCCACCCTGAATTTCACCCAAATCCAGGTGGTGGGGGGAGTGTGAGGTGTGGGTTAAGCTGGGCATCACTGATGTGTGTCAATGCCTGTCCCAGCACGGGAACCTGCAGCCTAAATCCAGTCAGAATGTGCATTCCAGGAATGGGACCCGAGGCACGGCTCGCTCTCCAGGCCTGGAATCACCCCCAGCCCAAGCCTCACACATCTCTGGGGATCTGCTCCAGACCTGGCAGCCCAGCCCAGGTGGAATCCAAGAGACCTGGCTTTCAACAGAAGCTGAGCTAAATCAGCAACCTGAGCTGTGTCTAAACCTCAGAGGAAGCCCAGAGCTGTGCCGAGCCTGCTGCTCTGAACTCCAGCTATCTCTTTTTGGCAGTGTGGTTAAAACGTATCTCAAGTATCAGCTCTCATTTGCTCACTTCTAGCTGGGAGGAAATGGAGATTATGTGATTAATAAATAAAACATTTAAGGTGTCTGGCACTGGTTGCTCTGGAGCACACCACTATTGATCCCTTTAATGAGAGAGAACTGAGGCCACAAGCACACACGCAAAGATAATGAAAGATTAAATCATAAAGAAGATATTGAAATTACAGCTGCCATCAGCCATCCAGGCTGGGAAAATGCCTGGCTGAGCACCCTTCAGCGTGTCCTCTGTCACAGCCTGCAGTGGGGCTGCTGGAATTGTGGGGGTCCCTGTGGTGGGCACCAGCCAGGGCTCACCCCCTCAGCTGGAGCGTGGGGTGTGCTCCCGGGGCCTCCCGTGTGTCCCAGCACTCCAGGGACAAAGGAGCCACTCAGAGGGGCAGTGCCACCCTGGAGCTGCCACACTCACACCCCTCTGCCACCCCACATCCCCTGGATAACAGGGATGCTGTGACAGTGACCCTGGGACAATCCCATGGATCCCAAGGATAACAGGGATGCTGTGACAGTGACCCTGGGACAGTCCCACAGATCCCAAGGATAACAGGGATGCTGTGACAGTGACCCTGGGACAATCCCACAGATCCCAAGGATAACAGGGATGCTGTGACAGTGACCCTGGGACAATCCCACAGATCCCCTGGATAACAGGGATGCTGTGGCAGTGCCCCTCAGGACAGTCCCACAGATCCCCTGGATAACAGGGATGCTGTGACAGTGACCCTGGGACAATCCCACAGATCCCCTGGATAACAGGGATGCTGTGGCAGTGCCCCTCAGGACAGTCCCACAGATCCCCTGGATAACAGGATGTTCCCACCTCTGGCAGTGCCCTCTGGGGATCCTCTAGCAGTGAGGGGCTCCTCAGAGCAGGCAAAGCTCAGCCCCAGCAGCTCCTCCCTGCAATATTCCACATCCTGCCCTGCCCAGGAGGAATTCTGACATGCAAAGCAAACCCCTGGGCAGGAGCTGGTGGGGAAAATCTCAGGCTGGGTTTGCAGAGTGCCCTCAGAGCCAGCCAGGTCCTGCCCTGCTGGGATAAATGGGATCCTTGGGATGCTTCAGCCCAGCATGCACAGCCCCACCTCTCCTTCCCTGCCCTCAGGACAGCTCTGTGCTACACAGGTGGGGAAGAAAAAGAATGGAAAATAAATAAATAAATTAAATAAAATTAAATGTTTTAAACCCTCTACGCCAAATAAAAAGGGGCATAGCTTTTTAATTGAAAAAATAAATAAATAAAGGTTAAGAGAAACACACAGCTGGAGAAAAGGCAGAAAAATACCAATTACCTTTCTTTTTGATTGCTTGGATCAAAGATCACAGTCATTCTTTTTCATATAATGTTTTGTATCCAGCTAAGGTGTGTATCTATCAGCTCTGAAAAAGATTTGCAAAACCATTTTTGAGAAAAAAAGGTAACCTTTGACCTATGTTGCATGGCCAAATGTTACAGCTTTCAGCTACTCTTTCATTTTGTGGGATCATTTAATAAAAGGACATTTCAGCATATACAACCCATAAGGCAGATCTTAACCACTGACCTTTCTGTTTGCTCAGATCCAGCATTAGATTTTACTTTTTTCCCCCTCTTTTCACAACTGATATTACCTAAAAATGAATATTCAAAGATGTACACTCCTAAACTGGTGACAAAAGAGTAAAAGCTGATAATTTGCTGTGAGAATCCAGAGGCACAGGGGGTCCCTGTGACTTGTGAGTCAGCTCAGACTCCTCACTGCCTTTTACAAAATTCACTTTTTCACTGTCATCAGCCCCGTGCCCAAGTAAGATCCAACACATTTATGGCAGATCCAAAGTCAGTCCCTTTGAACTGAGAGATCCAACCACAGTGGCTATGAAAATCAGACTTTGCCTTAATTGTACAGAACAGGAAAGATCTGGGCAAAGAAATTATTAAAGTTACAGTCTTTGCTTCAAATGCAAATAAGGTGAATTATTTTCTTCAGGAAAAGGCAATATTTAAAATTTTCTGCCTTTTTTTTTTTCCCTTTAATTTCCTAATCTTTTTAGATTTCTTTGGAATTCACAGTGAAAGCATTTGACACTCCTGCAAAACCATGTGGAAATAATAAGAAAAAAGATAATTTCAATATTAAGGAGCAAAAATTGCTTCTTAAAAACTAAGTTTTGAGTGCAAGCTTCAGAAGTGTCTTTGCTGCTGGGTTTCAGGTGACTATATATAGAAAAGAAGTATTTTACTTGGCTCCCAAGGATTGTGCAGCCACGTATCATAGCCTGGAACCTCCCACTCAGTACACAGCCCAGTTTATATTCTGCATCCTGGAAAAGCAGCTTTTGCACACCAGAGCACAGCAACTCCTGGACTGGGAAACACCAGTTTGGGTGTGGGAAACACCAGTTTGGGTGCATCAGGCACAAGGAGCCCAAGCCCAACAAACTGCTGGGGAAAATACTGCAAGTGTGTGGGGTTGGTTAAAAATCAACAGCAATTAAAGGTTTTTTTTCTCCTGGAAAACGGGGCCATATAATCACTGAGACATTCTCAGATATAAAGGTTTATTTACACATCAAAACCAGGGTTTCCTCCTCACTGAAATAATGCCAGGAGATGCACCCTGCAACTTTCCTGCCTTGTCCTGCTTGTAACCCACAGAGGCTGTGTGAGCTGTGTGTGAGCTGTGAACCTCCTCAGTGCCCTCCTGCCCAGCAGCAATCAGGCCATCTCCATTAATTAAGCAAACTCTTGGAAGAGGCTGCTGACCTCAAACTAAGTGGCAGCTCAAGTCCCAGGATGCATTTTTGCTGTAAGAGTATCAAGAGACTCCAAACCCATTGGCACCTTTCCATGGATTTAGCAACATGATACAGATATCTGATGGAAAACAGAATCTAAATAAAATGCATATTTTTGGCTAAAGCCCGTCCCAACTGAAATCAATATCTGAACTGCTGTGGATTTACAGGATCTGGATTGCACTCATGACATTTAAATGTCCTTCCCTTATATTGCAGTGCAGTGCCAGAGTGAGGTGCAAAAATCAAACAATTGGTATCTTTGGTACTGTCCTACCCAAAAGGTTTAACAGGAAGCTGGGTGTGCCTGAAAGAAAAGAGCAAAACATAAAGATAGCATTTCTGCTATAAAAAAATCCAGTGCCCTAAACGCACTGTAGATCAAAACCAGCAGGAAGGAAGTACTCAAAAGACAAATCTGTCTGTGCCACCACCTCAGAAACGCTAAGGATTCTCTAAGCACTTTCATTATTGCCACTGTACTTCCAGAAAAGATCAACAGCCACTACAGACCAACAGCCTCAGAGCTGGCAGGAAAAAGCCTGACCTAGAGGGGAATGGGGGGACTCACTCTGTCCTCATCCTGCCACGTGGCCCTGGCCAAAGCATCCCTGAAGGACCAGACCTGTGTCAGATCTGCTTTGGGCTGAAAAACGCACAAAGTCTGTGAGATCACACTCATGGAACTCAAATAATCCCTGCTTAGCTAAGAGAGAGCAGCCTGAGAGGATGATGACCTCCAGAGGATGAGCTACACCCTCCAGCAGATCCCCTCTGCTCCGTGTGTGGATGCAGGAGAGCAAACATTCCCCACAGGGGTGTTCTAGAGTCCTCAGGCAGGACTTGAGATCCTTCAGAGCTCAGAGCACCACGAGGTGCTGAGCTCACCTGGGCAGCAGGAGAATTCCAGCCACGTTCTCCTGCACAAACAGCTGCCAAAGGCTGCCCTAAAGGCAGCAGAAGGGAAGAGTCCTCAGGCTGATGGGAGCCATCTGGGTGCCCTCAGTTATTTAATCCATCTGATCTCTGTTGGGATTTGCTGGCAGTCGGTGAGTTCAGGTTTTCCATGACCCAGGAAACAGGCTCTGTGTGATGTTTGCAGGACACACACACATGCACACACACCTGAGCTGGGCTCCTATCCCGGGCTGCTGCCTGCAACAGCAAGACAAAGAGCAACTTTTGCTCCAGAGTGTGATTTCCTGTTTGCTCGATGGATTTCAGTACTTATCCATCCCTTTTTTCATCACTCCATTCTAAGACAGGTGCAAACCCTGCCTATACAGGGACTGGAGGAAGAAAGGGCACCTTCAGGAACAATTTCATGCCCTTTTCCTCCTGCCCCAGGCTTCAGCAAACGCCTGTGGGCAGCCCCTGGAGCTCCTCAGGCTCCCTGAGCTGAGTTTAGAGGGGCTGTGTCAGACACTTGGAGCAGAGCTGGGAGAGGCACCCCAGCAAACTGGGCTGTTTCTCTTTATGTCGATCTCACTGGAACTCAACCTCTGCACACTCCTCCTGCCCAGTGCAGAGCACTGCAGACTCTGAAAGCAGAGCCAAGGACGGTGCTCAGGGTGGCACCTGGGGCCAGGCACTGCCCACGTCCTTCCCAGCTGACCTGAGCAAGGACTGGCTCTGGGTATCAGTGCTGCCACTGCTACAGGAGCGTGAAACAACAGCTCCTGTACTATTGTTTGCTAGGATGGTGATAAATCCCCTGTGCTTTATCAGACAAACCCCTCAGGTGTGTTTAGACACCAGTGAGGAGGCAGAAAGGGGCTGCAGGGAGCTGAGCTGGCTGTGTGCAGCTCCTCCACGAGTGTCAGCAGCTGCTCTGGGAAGAGTACCTTGAAAGTGGAAAACTAGATCAGCCTGGGTGTGATGAGGAACTCCAGGCCACCGTGGATTTGGTTTGTAGTAGCTTTCCATAACAAAGTCTTTTTTTAACTGACTTTCTTTCTGCTCACATATATTTAGATATGACTTTCATTCTGCAGCACTCTGATGCCAGAGAGTTTTGGCTGCAATTGCAAGGGAAGGGACACGTGTTTGAGTCATGGAGTTGGCTCTGTCTGGTTGATAGTTAGTGAGTTACTGAGAAAAGATGAAGTTTGTATTTAGCTTTAGCTTACATGCAACGAGACCAAGTAAAATATTCCAAGTAGAATGAGCACATAATAAATAAATACACAAAAACTTATACCAGAAGGTGATGGAGTTCATTGTATAAACCACATTACTTGGCTAAACCTATACAGAAATATTGGGCTGATGGACTGAAGCTTAAGGAACACAAGGCAGGAGTCCTCATTTTGTCACTGCTAACTCTTGATTTGACTCTTGCTGCTGCTGCAAAGCACAAGGGTGAAGTGTGCTCGTGTCAGGTTTATTGTACATGGTTTGGACACTATGGATTTGATCCAGAACTGCATTAAGACATATTTCTTTTAGATCAAAACCAGCACAACCAAAGGAGGCTGGTGATGACTTTTCCCTCCAGCAGCACCTCATGGTTTAAGAACTGATGAAATTGGTATTGGATACCACAACACCTCTAGAACAGCAACTGCAGGGAAAGCACACGAGCAACAGCTCTCTTTATCCACATGTCACCGTGCAGTTTCATCATTCTCCTAGGGTTAACCTATTTACTGGGGCAGGATGAGTCATTCAGCAATGTGATTCAAAAACAGAGAGAGAAAAGAGAATGGATGCAAGGAAGTTATTTTTTACAGGAAATAATTGGGGGGAGGACAGAAGAACAGTTACAGCACGTTCAGGATTAGCTGAAAGTACAAGATAGGCAATGCTGCTGCTTTTTTATTTCTGTCACAAAGGAAAAACCAGAACAAATATTTAATTGAGGGGAAACAAACCATTTAACAAATATTTAATTAAGGGAAAACAAACCATATTCGCCTTCCCTTTAGGCAGTTTTGCAGGGGATGAACAGTCAATAATGGAATCTGTTTCCCTCCCTTGAGCTCTAGTGCTTGTCTATTAATCTATAAAACTATTCACTGGCTCTAATTCTCTGGCATCTCATCTTGTGCTGTGTCTTCACTCTGCAGCATCCCCTCTGAAGGGCCTGTGCACTCCTGCAGAGCCCCAGCCCCTCCACAAACCACCTTTCCCTCCTGACGTGTCTGAACTGAATTCTGAGCTGGCTTCTCAGGGGGAAACAGCAGAAAATCCCTGTCCTAAGGTGATGGGGAAGATGCACAAGCGGCCTGTGAACAATTCTGCCAAGAAAACCCAGCTCCTCTCTGGCCCAAAGGTGCAAATCTCTGCCTGCAACTCCTCTGCCCCACAAAGAGCCCCAGCCCAGCCAGCCTGCACAAGGCATTTGTTCCCATCTGCTCGATTTTCAGGAGGACTGTGGGCAACAGGCACCACACTGATCAGGGAACACACAAAATCACTATAACACACAGATTATTTTTCTATTATGCCTCCACATCCTTTCACAAATGAGTACTTGGGGGAAGACTCTTTCCCCCCAGGGGAAGTGCCTCCAAGGGCAGAGGTGGGCAGCAGCTCTGCAGCTCCTGGCAGCAGCAGCCCAGAGCTTGGGGGCTGCACTTACTGCTCCAGCCTGCT